GGGACGGCTCCGGCCGCCCGAGCCTCCACTTTGCTCCTGCCCTCGCCCAGGCGCCTGTTCTTCACCGTTGTTTTCCCTTCTCAGTGCAGGAGTGATTTTGTCATCCGTTCTGGGCCTGCCTTACTGCGCGCCTGGCGTTGCTTTGACCCGTGGGCCTCATTGCTTATCCTCATCAGGAGCTGGGGTAGGGCAGCCCTGGGCCTGCAGCCGCACGCTGGGAGGTGAAAGGGAAAAACTTAAAAAAAAACCCAGCGAAACTGCCCCCAGAATTTACTTGAGCGTTGTTCCAGTTGGATATTGTAAACTTACCCTGTGCTCATGTCACAACATTTAATTCGATTGAGAGGCTCAGTTTATTACCCTTCTCACAGGATGCCCAGGCAGTAACTTTAATCATAGTAAATCATAGCATTTTAAAGTTATCTTCTCTGAATGTTGTCCTTCCCTCCGTTTCTGTGGCGAAACTTTTATGGGCCTCTGTGGTGCTTGCAAAATCGGTGTTGACTTTGATTGTCTCAGTCATGAGAAACAACAATTTATCTAGCGTTTGCTCTGCTTCCTTTAGCCAATATGAAGGTCATCACTTGTGAAATAGCATGGCATAATAAGGAGCCTGTTTACAGCTTAGACTTTCAACATGGAACTGATGGGAAGATCAATCGACTAGCCTCAGCAGGTGTGGATACTGCTGTTCGTGTAAGTTTGAATTTCAAACTTTTTTTTTTTTTTTAGCATATGGAGCATCGAATATCTTCCTATGTAAGATGCTATGTTACTAACTGGTAATGTGATTATTATCCAGTGCAGGATAACACCAGTTGTTTTTTTGGTTGGTTGGTTGGTTTTTTGCTTTGGAAAACTAGAAAGTAATCAAGCAAGAGTGAGAACTTGTTGATTTAAAATCAGTCTCCTGGTGAACCTGCTGTTACTTAATTTCAGCTGGTCTGTGCTTAGGTTTTTACATTTTTGTGCTTGAGGAGGTAGTAGTAAAAAAGTGTCACCCTGACTGGCCCCAGTGGCAGATGTTAAAGGAAGGAGTATGAGATTGTACAAGTAGGTACAGAGTAGCTCCTACCCTGGAATACTGTCTTTGCTGCTGAGTGTTGAACTGACATTTTCAGAAAATTATCTGCATTAACCTTATTCCTGAATAGTAACTGCTAATTTACGGCACAGTCTTGTAGATTAGTGAGAAACAAGCGGTTTTCATTTCTTTGTGCTCATCGATGCTGAATCTCATCAGCTGTTTTGTCAGTGGTCACTTAGCAATATGAGTTCTTGAGATTTTCCCTTTTTCCTTGGCTTCAGATGCAAAGCGCCTACATAATTTTGGGTTGGTGTTAGCAAACTTTGTTAATCAGCTGTTAATCCCTTTTGAAAAGTCACCAACGAAGATGTTGAATAGCATAGGCCCAAAAGGAATTGGCTTTAAGGTTCACCTTTGCAAAATCAAACCTTTGTTTACTATTTTCTGAATTCTTTTTAAGGTATGTGAGGACTCTCCCTCTGATTCAGTGGTCACTTCGTTTCTATAAAAGCCTTTTAATAGCCCTATTTGGGAAGCTTTGGGGAAACTTGAGTATGCTGGGTGAAACACATTCTTTTTTTATCTGGATGTTCATAAGCTCCTTAAATAAGGCTGATGGACTGGTAAGGCACAATTTTGTTTTCAGAGAAATACATTGACTCATTTTTTTAACAGTTTCTGTGTATGGAAGTTAGACTTAAAGATCAGAGTTTTTCTAGGTCACCGTTAGAGCACTTCTCTTAATAAAAAAAAAAAAAAAAACCCACAGTGTTTTCCTCCTGTTTTTCTGATGCTGGGAGTGAAACGGAGTAGGTCACCCATTACTGTTAGGCTGTTTATTTCATGTTTGAGTTCCTGTAGGTCTCCTCAGCAGTAGTATCTGTGTCTGGTGATTTGCAATGTTGGTTTTTTTTTTTTTGGCTCATTTACTAAAACCTCTTCTGCTGATGTTTCAGTTTGAGACAGTTCCTCAAACTAATCCTGCTATAAAGGAAGGTTCCAACCCAGGAACCTGCCTGTACTCCTCAGTAGTGAACTCCATTGGAAAGAATTCATGTAGATTTTCTGCTATGTATGTATGTATCTGTTTGCTATGTATGTAAGTATGTATCTGTGTGTCTTTGCGTGACAATTTTACCTTTTAATTATCAGTCAGCGCTGCTCATGTTCTGTCAGGCTTCCACCAGCTGATATATTTGAAGAAGAAATCAAGAATAAGTTAATGGTATCTTGCTACATGTTCAGTGGTCAGGACAAGAGAAAGAATAAGCTTCCATATAACTATGATGGCTGATCTAAAGGCCTCCCTCTTTTGCAGATGATAAATGGATAAAGATATCATGAAAAGTCCGGTTTTTATTCCAGTAACTTCAGCCAAAGCTTTTTCCTTCCTCACTGACAAATTGCTTTCTCACCTAACAGTGTATGCATTTCAGGGATGTTTGCTACGTATAGGTTGCTGAATATATACTTAGGTCGTGTTTATATATGTTTTAGGGCCAGAAAATACTTAATGTGCTTTGATATCAAAAACTTCTGCTACTTCTGCTTAATTCAGAGGACTATTGCATAAGAAAAAATGAAACAAATTAGAGGTCCTTAATCAAGCTGATTATTGCTTGGTAGTTTCCTGTCGACACATGTTACTTTCTGAGCCGAGTTACATGCAAGAACAGCTCTGACCTGTCATAATGTTGTGGTTAAGATCAATGGAAAACGGGAATTGTTCTTAATATTTTACATCCTGTATTTCTTGCTCAGACCCTCTCAAAATTCTTTGACCTTCAGAGTATGCTGTGAAAGTCTTCAGCCTGGTCAAACCTCTAAAGAGAGTTACTAAAGTTTTCTGGTCTAGAGAACACAGTATGTTTCAGGTTGTTACTATTTGTGGTTGGCCAATTTGTTGACAAGGTATTGCTATGTCTGTAATGTTGAATGGCTTGTTAAATCACTTGTTAAATTTGTTTGAACTTAGAGATTGTCAATGAAAGGAGAGAGAGCAATTTCATATGTTCGGTTGTCTTTTTATATATTTATTTATCTTATCAGAACTAAAAAAAAATACTGCAATGTAGTTACTGTTGGAGCTTGTAGAGAGGAAACCTGTGGTTCCACTGGACCTTTATCTCTGCTAGTTTCAAATAACAAGTTCAGAATGACTGCTGAAGGAGTAAATTTGTGAATAACTGAAAGAGTGCGTATAGTACATCAGCCTGTCTTCCATCTTGTTTCTTAAAGCTATCTGTAATGCTTTTGTAACTAGATATGGAAAGTAGAAAAAGGACCAGATGGAAAAGCAATTGTGGAATTCTTGTCCAATCTCGCACGCCATACCAAAGCAGTAAATGTTGTACGCTTCTCTCCCAGTGGTGAGATCCTAGCATCTGGAGGAGATGGTGAGTAATAATACATAATGAAGCTAATATAAAGAAGCTACACTTACGCATCTGGTGGGGGAAAAAAAAAAAAAAGAGCTTGGGAACTTGTTCATACATCTCTCCCACGTTTCTAGCTCTGGACTTGCGCATGTGCTCCAGTTGTGATTAGTAAATGCATGTCATGCACTCCCTAAATAACTTCTTCTCACTGGCTGTGTGTCTGAGAGGTTCTGTTTTCCAGATATGAAAGAATTACTATCCAGATTTCCCAGACGGGGAGATTGAGTGGATTGCCTAGTGTCATAGTGGAAAGCTGTGCCAGAGTCTGTAAATTTAGCCCTGTTTCTTGAATGCTCCAGGAGTTCTTCAGTCACAATAAGGGCAGCATTAGATAGGTGTGTGTCTCAGGAGACAGAGCTAAGTGTTACCTGTCTCAGCGGGAAATTTTCAAAAGCCCAAGGAGAAACATGCCCAGCTCTAATCAAAAGCGGATTGAAAACCAGGTGCTTATTAACTCTCATACTACTTCTGGGGATATCCCTTTTTATTTGACCGTTTAATAAATAAAAAAAAAAAAAAGACATCAACTTAAAATCAGTAGCTCACGCTGGGGGTGAAAAGCAGTCTAGGTTCTATTCCTCCCCATTCCAAAGAGAAATCTGCTTTTCCTGTGATTTACGTGAGATAACTTCAATGTTAAACCAGATGCCATGCATTAACAAAACAGCAGGGAAGAAAGCGTCATGTTATTTCTTCTACAGACGCTGTAATTTTATTGTGGAAGCTGAATGACAGCAAAGAATCAGAACCATTAGCTTTTCAGGATGAAGATGAAGCACAACTCAACAAGGAGAACTGGACAGTTGTTAAAACTTTAAGGTACCTTAATCTTTTAGGCGTCTGTGTTTTTTTGTTTTTTTGTTTGTTTGTTGTTGATTCCATACTGCCTTTTGTGATGTGATAGAGATAGAGCCTTCTGTGCAGTGTATGTAGAACTTCACTGCTGTCTAAAATTTACTTGTTCCAGTATTCATCCTTCTATGAGCTTTAACTTTTTCTTCTCATACAGTACCAACCCGTATCTTCGATGTTAAGGCAGAAGATTTGGCATTTGTGTGAGATAGCTGGTGTGCTTTGAAATTGGTTCCTGAGGTTAGGAAGCTTAGAATTAGAACTTTGCACGGAGATATATAACACAAAATTAGAAGTTTTACTTAGAGCAAAAAATTGCCAGAAGATGCAATGATTTATGTAAGTTTTCCAGATAGTAGCTGTGAAGCTAAGCCAATTGTTTTTCAGCTAGTCTTGTTATAGTTGAAAATCCATTATATTATTCGGCCTTTGTTTCAAGCTATACAATGATAGAATACGCACAGCATGCCTGCTAAGATTAAGTAAGTGTTCGTGGGAGTTCGTAGTGGCTAAGGTATCGAACCACTGCTGGTAGCTGGAACGCAACTATGTTCTGTTCTTGCTCTCAGCTGAAGATTGAAAGACATGAGTGGTTTTGGAAATAGGCTTTTTTTTTTTTTTTTTTTTGGATGGGCATTATGTGCAACTCTGCCCTGCTTTCTGAGTAGTATCCGTGGAAAGTTTTGATATCTTGTCTGTCTGAACTGATGAAATCATTAAGAATTTATACTTGTTTACAATAAATAAATAACTACTATCCCTAACTGATACGTTCCTTGCAACTACTGAGGTTTATGTGAGAACACTTGCAAAAAGTTCTAGTGAAATTGCATGAAGCATTAGCCTAATCCGGGGGTACAGCAAAATTAGTATTGCTTTAAAGAAAAACGTTTCTTAAATAAAGTAGTGCAAATATTAATTATTCAACCTACCACACTGTATGATCTCCAGAAGACAAGCAATACAAATTGTTTTTGATGGTGACCACCTAGGTGGTTCTCATTACCTTGCAAAGTTTGTTTAGACTGTATCGGAATCAACCTTAATTTTCTTTGTTTCATGTGGTTCTGTTCAGTACACATGCTTCTGTTTAATGTTTTTTTTTTTTTTTTAAGAAGCCCATAAATACACAGGAAAGTTTTCTTGAATAGCAACACTTCGTAATTACTTTGGTGCAGTGTTTTATGTTCTGTCTTGTACAAAACCTAGAAATGTTAATTTGCAGACCTTTAGAAATAGATTCATAAATTACTTTAAATGCAGGGTTTTCACTGTCTGTGAAAAATGAAGTGTTTAAAAGGCAGTGATATTTTGGGTAGAAGCAAGATGTACTCTTGTTCCACCTCCTTCTGAATATGGATTTTTGTTTTTTAAATGAAAGTAATGACTCTCTGTTTTATTTTTATAATACTTTGGTTTTCTCTCTGTTTTTTTTTTTAAACCTAAAAATATACAGAACTCTTACATGTAGCTGTTTCATTTTATAATTAATAATTGCTTTCTTTTCTGCTGGCTTCTAGAGGCCACTTAGAAGATGTGTATGATATTTGTTGGACCTCAGATGGAAATTACATGGCATCTGCCTCTGTAGATAACACAGCTATAATGTGGGATGTCAGTAAAGGTAAATGCTAAGTGTAAGTTTATCATCTGTGACTTCAGTCTTGCTGTGACTCTTGGAATTTATCGAAATAGTTGAAAGTATCTTTTGGTGACTGAACAATCCGCTTAATTGCCAGACTTCTGGGATTGTGATGCAGATACCATTGCACACAAAGATAACCTCAAGCTGGCAAAATTTACACACAGGTAATCTCTTCAACTGAGATTACTCAGGAAGTAACCTTTGCCTAATTTTTTTCCCAAGCTCCCACACAAGCACATTGTATATTATTCGTTCTTCTGCTTCCCCTCTCACCCCCAGACAAACAAAACTTAGACTGATACCAGGAAACTACCTGGGTCAAAGGCGGCTAGTATGACATACAGGCTCCATTTTGCAAGATATGACAGTTTTGGGGGCTGCATCCAGCAAAGCACTTATGTTCATGCTTACCTGCAGATCAGTGGGACTGCTCCAAGCAAAGCCCATCTGTAAAAGGTTTGTTGCACCAGTCCAGAGTAGTTAGTACTCTGCAGATTCCGGCCGTATGTATACGGCTGGTAGTAACCAGATAGATTAGGTTGCTTTACAGTGGTTTGATGTCTTCCTCATAGCAGTGTAGTCATTACGTAATTTAATTTGGAAATAATTAGCTTTCTCTACAGGTAATCTTTAATCTCTCATTTCTAATACTTAGTTTCTAATTAAGAAAAATAAAATAAAATACAGGGTTTTTTTTTTTTAAACCCTCCATTGCATGCACACGTGAAAATATAATGTTCTGCTGACACTTTTCACATTTTTGGTCTGGTGGGATTTTGGGTGCTTAGTATCTCTCCCATTTCCAACTGTGGTCACATACGCTCCCTTCCAGAAGTCTTTACCATAAATATATGAATGTTCACTTAAGTGTGTGTGTGTGTTCAGAACATAAGTATGTTTACAGGCATTGTGACCAAGTATGTTTTGCATCTTGGACTGTAACGACTTGAGGTGTACTTACCTATTCAAACTACTAGTAAAAAAGCTGGATGCCCTATTATGCTAATATAAGCTATTTCTCTGTAGTGTCTTTTAGTCTTTACCATAAATATATATGTGTTCTCATTTATGTGTGTGTGTGTGTTCAGAACATAAGTATGTTTACAGGCATTGTGACCAAGTATGTTTTGCATCTCGGACTGTAACGACTTGAGGTGTACTTACCTATTCAAACTACTAGTAAAAAAGCTGGATGCCCTATTATGCTAATATAAGCTATTTCTCTGTAGTGTCTTTTATTCTTACTGCTTTTTTTTTAGCATGGAATTAATGCTGTGAAGGGGTTTTGTGTCCCCTAGGCAGAGACACATGCAATAACTTGGAAGTAAGAAGCCATTACTGGAAAATATATGATTTCTAATTCAAGTTGTAGGTACATACAGGTAAAGAGTTAAATGTTTGCATGGTTTTAAAAAATGGCTAGAAGAAAATTAATAGTAAAAGTTCATACGGCTGTTCAGCATGAAGACAGCGCCACTGGCATAAGATATCATTAAGGTACGAAGTGTTGGCAGCTGGAGGGTATTCTGGAGAAATATCATTACATGCTTGCATCTATTGTTGGCCATGTCTGAGACAGGATACGGGGCCAGAAAGACTTCTGGTGTGATGCTGCATGGCCTCGACTCTCTCTGTATAATCCTTCTCAAGAGCTCTTGTCTTTGAAGCTTGTCAGCTCATAAATTATTTATTTGCAATAAAGCAACACTGTAATATTAGAAGGACATCTGTCATTGGTATTTAAAGCAAAATATTTCATGAGAATAACCTGTAATTTTACTTAATCACGATATTTTGGATTTGTAATGTTCATTCATGGACTTTGAAACATCAGCGGGGTCAGAGAGTTTGTATGTTTGATAGATCTTTCTGATAAGAGTAAGCTGTCAAAGGACGTGAGTTATTACTGCCGCAGAATTATTTCTGAAACCTCACCTTGTGTAAGTCATCAGTCGGCATGTGTGGAGTATATTTTTTAGTGCCTGCTCGACAGAGTAGATGAGTTTTATACAGCTGTAGACAGAGCCTCCCTCTCCAGCCCCAGCTGAAAGGTATGTTTTAATGCTGGAATTTCTGGCTCTTTATCCAGCCAAATCCAGTTAGCTGTTAAACAGCATTCTAGACCTGTATGAATAATTTTTTTTCCAAATTGAAAGGGTTTGGAGATGCTTTTTGTTTTGAAATGTACTCATCTTATGCATTTAACAGCTGGGCACCAAGTTGTTTATCTAAGTTTGTAGGGAACGAGCCTTAAATTGAAATGGCCAAATTTACTGTACTTGCAATGATTCTAGAAACAAAGCAACAATTTCCAGTGTTGCTGTCAGGTACCACCAAGTTACCAGTTTGTATGTTTAAAACAATGCTTCGTGTACATTCTGAAATGCTTTGCCTTTTTTATTTCTGAAACAAAAAATGGTTTTAAAATAGGTTGAATTTAGAATTTGGAAACTGTTTGTGATTTCAGGACAAAAGGTTTCAATATTAAATGAACACAAGAGTTATGTCCAAGGAATAACCTGGGATCCTCTGGGCCAGTACATCGCAACTCTGAGTTGCGATAGGTGAGCTGTTGGTCTGTGTTTTGTCTTCGTGTTCTTAAGGATGAATTAAGAAAAAGTGTGCGGGGTGAATGTGATTTTTTTTCTTTCCTTTTTTTAATTGTATTCCAATTGTTCTGTAAAAGGACTGATGTGAAAGTAAAATAATTTAGTTTTTTTTTTTTTTCCTCTTGTGGTAAATGATTGCCCCTGAGCGTCCTCTCTAAGCAAGAAATAAGTTTATGCAACCTTTTGCATAAATTTTTCTTCAGGAAATGAGTTTTCATGGTATTGGTCATTAGAGATATCAGACGTATGTTAAGAGAATACTGTATTAACTGGTTGTTAGTGAGCTAATAAGTTCATCCTTGTCAATATGTTTTACAGAAAGAAAAAAACAGGTTAAGAAATTAGTTAAAATGTTTTTTCCATTGATATCTCTCTTTGCCCTCTTGCTCCTTCCATCCCCAGCAGTTTTATAAGTGATGTCATTGGGAAAGCAAACACACACTTCATAAACTTGGCCCTTGTCAGAACTTTGCAGTTCAGCTTAAACTGTTTAGGGCATGTGTGCTGCTCTGAAGGGGTTTACAGCTGGCTAATAAATGCGTGTCATCTGGCACTCTTTGCAGAGAAAATTGCTGTAATAGTGGAAAAATAGTTTTGATTTAAGATTTGCAATAGGCTCAGAAAAAGGATAAGTAAATGGCTGCTAGGCCATTATGAGTCTCTGTCTTCTGATAATCGGTTACGTGAAATTTGTGCGCTTCTATTAAAGTGAGCAACAGTGAAATACGAGTGATGGAGTGATACACGCGTTTTTCTAAGAATGAAGTTACAAGCTAGGGTACAAACTAATCTGAAGAAGAGAAGTTTCCCACTCCCGCACCTTGCAGACACTTTTCTTCAAGGTTAGCAGATAGCAGCAGCTCAACAGGAGTTCAACAGGAGCCAGGGCCAGTGCCAGGAGCGGGCCCTCAACAGTCCAGGGGGCGAGAAGACCCCTTTCCCCTGTTGGCAAATCAGTTTAGCTGTGACATGTGGCTTCATCTGGAACCTGTAGTTCTGTAAAAGCCTCAAAGTGACTACTGCTTGCCACAGCTTCAGCTTCCACTTTCTCCTCCTAACTCTGTCCAGGACTCTTTGTGGAGCTGTTTCAACACATTAAATCAGCAGAAAGCTATCTGTTTTTTGTGTTAGATTAGTTTTCTGCCAGCCTAACAAACCAACATAATTTAGTGAAGGGTCTAAGTTTAAGAGTTGGCAGAAAGGAGGGAATGATGGGACCAGCAGTTGAATTGGCTTAGGCTATCTGCTGTTGTAGTGAGATGAAGGCGGGGAGTTCAAACGTTCTCTACTGAGGTATACTCCAGTTTTCATTTATTCCAAAGGAAACTGCCCCGATGAAGCCTAGAAATATAGCTAATTGTCTCTGAGGTGAGTTCACACTCCATAGGAACAGATACAGCCACTGTACTACAGTTAGGAATGACATGGCCGTTCACTGTCCTTTAATTCCTTCATTCCTCCATGAATGTGTATGCTGGTACTTCACAAACGTCCTTGAGTTAAATCATTACCAATGATTCATTGGTTATTTAGTCATGAGGGCATGTCCTCCCTGGTGGTCTTTCATGGACAGAGTATAATAAAAGTGTGATTGTTGTTGATATGCAGCAGTCACAACTAAAAAGAGGTGTTGTGGCTCTGTGTGAAACCTGGAGTAAAAGCAAGCTGTTTATAGCTGTGTTCTCCACCATGTAGGGTACTACGTATATACAACTCGCAGACCAAGCGTGTAGCATTTAATGTTACCAAGATGCCTTCTGGGGCAGGAGTTGAAGGAGAGGTACGTTGTTCTGCTACTAATGGTTTGGGGGAATGTGGTGGGTGCTGTTTTGTGAGGATTGCTCTGTTCTATGAAACCAGAGGGCAAATATTTTCATTTCAAGTACTCTATCAAGTAGTTTTGTGTTTGCCTCTATCTCATCTCTGTGTTTCTGTAAATAGAGACCTTCTCTTTGGGTTTCCTCTAACTTTGTAGAAGCGACTAGCAAAGGATGCTGCCTACTGCTATTAATCTCTTGCAAGTTAAGAGCTTTCTTCCTGAAGTATTCTAAATGATAGTAAAATAGAATTTGGAAAGCTAGCTATAACATCTGGGTGTGTGTATGTTTCTTGGTTTGGTTTGGGTTTTTGGTTTTTTTTTTTTTTTTTTTTTTGCTTTTGTGAAAACATTTTTACACACGCTAAAGAACAGGCCTGGGAGAGCTCTTTGTCATTATAGAAGTATCTCTTTAAACCTCTACTACTAGAGTTAAAAGCCTGTTCCTTGGGTATTTAATTTTAGACTGACTGTTAAATAATGTTGTTCTCCAGGTTATTACTACTTTTTTTCATTACTGGTCTAACGTTACTACCCTTGGAGTGTTTTGATTAGTAGCCGAAGAGGGATCAAGGGCTATTTTCCTTAGCTGTACAGAATTTATAGCACGGAGGAAAAGTGAGTGAAGGAGCCATGGCTTTTAAAATACTTATCTTTTGTTTTAAAAGTTCCATCAGGTTGGATTATACAACCAGATGATTTTTCTCACTTTGAATTTCAACTGACACATTCATGGCACTTCTTACAATCATATTTTCAATGTTGCAGGCTAGGAGCTATCGGATGTTTCATGATGACAGCATGAAGTCATTTTTCCGCAGACTCAGTTTTACTCCTGATGGTTCCTTATTACTTGCTCCAGGTATGTGAAAAGAACTTATACTGTAACTTGCCTTTAATCTAGTGCACCCTCCTTTGAATGTGCATCGCAATTGCTTTCAAAACTGCTAGAGAGTTCCTGTTTATCTGAATCATGCCATTCCTTATTCATTCATCATATTTCCGCTGAAGAAAAGAGAGATTCCACAGTATTCTTCCATTAACAGTCCAGAACCTCAGCTTTCTCCCATGATTAAAAATTACCTATGTCATTTTTCTTAAATGAAACATATATAAATTGCAACAATATAGCTCTGTTAAAATAGAATTGGAGACTAGTAAGTGGTTTCTTTTGACCTATGTGGTCTCTCTTCATTTGTATCCCTGTTCTGAAAAATATTTTGCGGTCATAGTAAAAATAACATTGCAAGGAGGGGTTCAGTTTGCCCGTATAAGCACTGCTTTTATAGGTGTCTGGGAGCATCAAAAAGAAGCTTGGAGAGGGAAGTATATAAGGGAAACACAAACAGCACTAAATATTTAGGATGCTGTTTTGTGTTCAGATCACACAGCCATTGCCCAACTAATGCAAGTTATTATATGTCTCTCATTCCTGAGAAATAAAATATTTATGAGCATAAAGTGTGTGTACTCAGTAGTTTTTTGAGTTGATGAGTGATGTTTTAACCTTTATTTTCTCAGCTGGCTGTGTTGAATCAGGAGAAAATGTGACAAACACCACATATGTTTTCTCCAGAAACAATCTTAAAAGGTAGAGTTTAGTTAGATCAAAGCATCTTTTTATTTAAAAAAAACAAACAAAGCAAACAAAAACAAAAATTTTTTTTTAAGATCCTTTTTTTTTTTTTTTTTTTTTTTTTTTCTTCCATAAAAGGCCCATGGGTCATCTGCCCTGTCCTGGAAAGGCAACTCTTGCTGTTCGCTGCTGCCCAGTATACTTTGAGTTGAGACGAGCACTTAATAAAGGTACTGTAAATCCTTCGGGGATATACTTGTACAGCAAATATGTGAAAAGGCCGATTAGTTGGCTGTTTAGTTGCAGGTCGTACTATTTTATGCCCTAGTCTTTTTGCGTTCCATTAAGATAATGTTGTGCCACATCTCGGAAGCTGTTTCCTGATTCTAAGACCCTGAATTCACCTGAAAAACCTTGTAAGTAGCTTTTGATGTAGAAGATAAATGTTCTTATTTGGCCCCTTAGGCTACAGAAAACACTGCTTAGTATTTAACTTTTAACCATTTTGTGTGAATAAAAGTAAATAACTTGGCTTAGCACTAAAGGAGCAACCTAGTGAAATATTTTCTTCTAGATTCAACTACCCACATTAGAGAAGCACCACAGAGTTGGTGTAGTTTGCAGCAGCCATTCATGTTTATTCCAGGAAGCCAAACTGGTGTTACTGGCCAGAACAGGAGTTCTGAGGAGGGAAGGACTACTTGAAGTTGCATGAGAACTTACCTGGAGACCGAAATCGAGCCTTATTGTGAGCCCAGTGGGGCCAGGAGTTTATATACAGTTTTTGAACAAGACTGATCTTACTCTGGTGCAAAGGCGGAGCTTTACTTGTTTCCAGCTGGAGTGCAATAAAGGCTCTTTCTTTAGAGGACAGTGGGGTGGTATTCCTTAGAGGATTTAGATATTTATCTGTTGCTGTGTTCTGTATTTCCATCGTAATCTTTAGATCTATTGCCATGCTGCGTTGCAAGGTAAGGCGATGAGTGTCCGTTCTCAGTCTCTGTAGCTCCTGTGAACGGAGTGTTTAGGTTCTACAACACATTCCTGGAAAAGTGAAAATCTATGGTAGTCCAGAAATCTGTAGCAATCTGTGAGTACATTACATACATAATGTTAATGTATCTTCTGTAATCATCATGGAAGTGAATAGGAGCTTTGTATAATAGTAATTTCTGAAAGCTGCTAGCTAGCAGTCAGCTTCTGATAGAAGTAGGAAAAAACTGTCTTTACAGAGACCTACTATTGGGATAAAAGACTAGCCAGTGCCTCAGATATCACAAAAGCAAGTTAAATCCATTGTTTTGAATAGGTCATACAGAATATAATGTGGTGGTGGTGTAGATTTATGGTGACTTTGATTTAAAGTATATCCTGAGATTTATTTGCTCGGACTTTAATACTAAAGTGCATATGAATATGTTGAAAAAAATTAAACTGGAAAATATATGACAAATATGCAACAAAACCGGATGACAACTAGATGGACAAAACTGCCAGCATTTAATCTCTTGAGCCAAGACTAAACAGAACAAACTTCAGTCAACAGAAATTTTAGTGTCTGACGTGACATTTTATAGAAGTGCCGCCATCTTGGCCGTCGTCTCGATACTGATTAATAATGAAAGCTTTATTTAGGTTCGTGACTAGCCTAGTGCAGTTACTGCCCTGCAGTGAATACAAGAGAGAATCATCAGGCTTTTTTGTTTCTTTGCATTCTAGATGAAATCAGTCAGAAGTCAGCCCCTGCTCTATTTAATCTGCCCTATCGATTGGTGTTTGCTGTTGCTTCAGAAGATTCTGTGCTTTTTTATGATACTCAGCAATCATTTCCCTTTGGTTATGTTTCTAACATACATTACCACACCCTGAGTGACATTTCATGGTAGGTAATTGGTAGATTCTTAAGATTTGCTGCTGAGGGGAGAATGTCCTCTTTACATGTTGAAGCTTTGCTCTTATGTCTCGCTTTGTTTTTGTTTCATTTATGACGCGCTCGTTCACTGTCATCACAGTGTCTAAACAGCAAGCCATTTCTTGTTGATCCCATAAGCCGGGAAAGTTGCAGGTTTTTAGGGTTTTTTTTTTTTTTTTTTAAATCAGCTAGGGAACATGGTACAAGGACCGCAAGGACAAGCAGACAGCACTTTTGCACACAAATGTGAAATTTGTACAAAAGCTAATATGGCAGTGGGTGCCCATGGGAAGTACTTATTGTCCAGGCTGTGTTACTGGTAATAAAGTTACCTGGAGGCTTTGAAGGTTGCCCCTTTGAGTTCAGGCTCCTGTATCCTGGCCAATTCCTGCTTTATATGTACAGTTCTGTTTGGTCCTTCTTTATGTCTGAGACTAAGTGATCTGTCTGGTTTGAGCTGGGGAGTTGGAAATGGAGCTGAAAACTGGACCCAAGTCTTGCAGTCAGGATACATCCCTCCACTGGACTAGGCTTCCTCTCTCAAGCTTTTGTAGCCAGTTACCTAAGATGAGGGTCATGTGGAGGCCTCTTTTTCAGAAGTTATAATTGGTGCTTTGACATGTTGAAGACCATTGTGTGTCAGGAGGAGGGGAGCGGAAGAGACTAGAAAATCATATATTTTAAATCGGTGATCACCATTACTTGGTGAAATGAGCAGCGAGGGCCCGTACGCATAAGCACCGCAGTGATTCTGAGCATTGCCTCTACTAAGCCTGAGGAGCACAGCCAAAGAGCTTGAACTGCCCTGCTGGGTCTGAAAGAGAGAGTTCAGCACTTTTTCAGAAACTGAAGATTTATGTACCTGCAATTAAACCATACTTTGTGCCAGCTCAAATGCCTGCAGGTGTTGGCAGCAGCGTATTATATAGCTGATCACAGACAAGGCCAGAGAAATTAAATCAGACGTGAAGGCCAGACTTGAGTATCTTTTGTTCATTTGAATTGGACGTCTTTCAGCTGTCTGAATTTTATTTAGGCTTAGTTGGGGAAGGGAGGAGGAAAAGACAGGTACAGCTTGTGTTACAGATGACAGGGAGGGTTGAGGAGATCGGTTCTCACCTTTCCTCTTAATGGAAAACAAATAGGTCCAGCGATGGAGCCTTTCTTGCTATTTCTTCCACGGATGGATACTGTTCATTTGTTACCTTTGAGAAGGATGAACTGGGAATACCACTGAAGGAGAAGCCACAGATAAGTGTCAGGACTTCCAGTGCTACAGAGAAGAAAGTTAAGAAGAGCCAGTCACACAAAGTCATTTCCCCAGGCTCTAGGCTGACAGAGGGGACTCCTCCTAGCAGGACCACTGATCCCAGCACTCCTACTCTCCAACCTAGAACACCCACCGCTGCCAGTAAGGAGTTGCCTTCCACACCTGTTGGCATGAAAAGTGTTCCAGCCTCATCCTCAGACGAGAGGAAAGCCAGCCAGCCAGCCAGCCAGAGTACTAAAGTAAACCAGCCCAGGAGGATTACTCTCAACACTTTACAAGCGTGGAGCAAGACGCCGAGGTGAGATTTATATTGCCGTTTGCAGTCGTAAATATGAAGGCCAAGACAAGCTGGGTTTGTGCTACATTTAAAGGGTCGAGGTTTAGACGTAAATTCCCTGCCTTGTGTCTTGGTGGTAGCTGCCTTGACATGGAACTTTGTGTTCCAGTTGTACTACGTCCAAAAGGTCAAAAAGTTTCCTGGATCCTAAATGTACAGCTGTTAACATTTCTACCTAAAACGTGAGGCAGTAGCACAGTTAGCTTGACCTTCATGCCTTGTGCCTATGACAGCAAGAGGTATCTACCTTCAGGTCGCATTTTCTGTATAAAGACAGTGCCTGTAGACTTCAACTGTGTCTCTTCTGACAAGAAATGTTTTAAGTAGTGAAGTGTGCAAGGCTGCACATACTCTCAGTGTGCGTAGTCATGGGTGTGGGACTTAATACGTTGACTGATATTGTTTGCTAAGACCTAGATGTTTTTAGAAATTGTCTGTAATCCATATATTGGCAGTCACACAACCTGCAATATAAGATCCTGAGTCAGTATGCAACAGTGAGGAGACAGTCATGCAATTCAAGATCTATACGTGACCTGGTTAGCAAAAGAAGGCTATTTTATAATTGAAGGAGTTTATTTGACTTTCTCATAGGAATATATTTATTAATAGGTGGCTAGGTAAGTGGTGAACAAGAAGGAAGGCTAGTGGATCTCATCGGCTACTGTGAAGAAAATTCTTGGAGAAGATATTTACAGGGTGATGGTTTTCCACATACCTCTGTTTAGTCTGTACTGCAACTAACTTGTCAAAGGGTTATAGCTAGCTGAAAGTGAGAGTCAGTTGGGGGAAGGGGATGCCTGATGGAACTAACTGATTTTTGGTTTTTTTGAGAGCACACAACAGTGAGAGCACATGCGCAAGACAGGGATAGAGAGAGAGCAAGACAGAATCCCATGAAGGCAGAAGAGAACAAACTTTTAACGTGAGCTAAGGTGTCTGGCTACCACTCTCTAGAAGTCTTGGGATTTGCAGTAAGTGTAGACTACGAGGCTCATGTCATTGAACGTGGTCAGATAGCTTATATCCTTGGCAGGGCTGTCATTAGTTTAATATATTTAGAATTTGGTTTTGTACTAAAGAAATAATGTTTTGCTTTAAAAAAAAAAAAAAAAAAAAGACCTTTTGGTCACCATATTAACACTGGTTACTACTTTTGGAGAGAACAGCGCTGAATGAGCCGAGTATAAGTCAGATATGCTGGAATAGTCATGATTAGCATGAGGTATTGCAGCCTTAGTTATGGTCTGAGATTAAGATGATGATGATGATTTTACCTTGAAACGTTGCAAATGTGCCAGGAATACAGACTGCATAGAAAAATTGCTCCAAAATGATGAAGAGTAGTTAGCGTATGGCACTTCTTACAGATCTGGTTAAAGAGAAGCTAAAAATTTGTCTGAAGTTTTGCAGGGCTACAGGTAGAGTCGATTAAAAATCTACTTTTAACCCATCAGCTCTGTGTTCTAGGATTAAGAAACTGTATTTGGTCACCTCAACTAATTATGCCATGAGTGTCATCTTGTAGTCGCACAAGGTGCTGCCTGTAAGTGTTGTTATTTTTTTAATAGCTTAGTTAAGTTAAAGAACTTTTTTTTTTTTCCTAGTAATTGTTAGTCAACTTCAGTGGACAAAAGAATTCCCTAGAGACGTAAATCTACAGCTTTAACATGGACAGGGTCAGCAGTGGGGAATAGCAGGCTCTTCTGGTGGAACTGGAAGCCATACCAGATGCCAAGAAGCAGTGTAAAAGCCTTGACTTACATCTAAATTTAAATTTTTATAATCTAAAGTAAGTTTCACATAAACTATTTTTGGAAGTGGTGTGTTTAAAGCACTTGAACTGTTTCTGCTTTTCTTAAAGGAGAGTAAACTTGATTCCAGTGAAGACAGATACTCCAACCTCAGCATACACAGATACAGTTTCCATACCTCCTCCTTCAGAACAGGAACACGGTAAGCTTTTGTAGCTGTTAATATCAGCAGAATTTTTTTGCCAATCTTTTTTTTTTTTTTTTTTTTCTTTCCATTTTAGACTTCTGGTATAGTTTATTGTGAATTGTAGTGTAATCTGGTAAATGTAAAGCTCTTGCATCAGGCACAAACCCAAAGGTAATTGCAGGCTGTAAAGCTTCCCCATCCTCTTACTTTGGACAATGTGCAGTGTATTGCCGTTCTCGTTACGGTTGCTTGCGGGCAGCTTCTCATGTAACTATGTCAGTACAGTTTTAGAGTCATGAGTGAGTTAGCTGACAGTTGAAACACTAAAGAATAAATTTGCTTGGAGGTAATGTCTTCTAGGTCATACAGGTAGGTTTTAAAGGCACTTTCTGCCATTGTACTTGCAACATGCACGTGCTTCAGATGCCAGACTCTCTCAAACCAGTTTCTTTTGTGAGTTCTTTGTGTATTTAGCAAACAAGTTTACTTTTCTCAGCTGGCTTCACTTAGCTTAAATGATTTTCATATCTACCTGTTTCAGAGAGGGCTTTACCATCTGATGACGGTCTTCAAAATCCGCCAGCATCTAAACGTCCTAGAACTGAAGAAATGACTCTTTCTACATCTCCTGAAGATCAAATGACCTGTGATTCAAACAAATAAGTTAAACTTTTAGTAGACTCTCACAGTCTGAAGGCAGTGCAGCCATATCTGCAAGTGCATTTCTTCTTGCAAATGTTAAATCCTCAGTTCCTGATGGAAGTACCATATGCATATTTGGCATAGTGCTGTGAAGAAAGAAGCTGGCGATGGAAGACAGGCTTCAGGAATGTAGCTTTGCAGAAGAGGAAGTAGTTGGAAAGTGACTTTAAGTGCAGTTCTACTTCTTGAAGACAGCGTTCTTTTTCAAGAAATGCCTCAGCTTAAGGAAATCAGGGAAATCTGCATATTGAAAAGCTGTGCAGTAACATAAGCATCTTCATCAAAGTCACTAAATTGGTGTTTTTAAACATTATGTCTTCCAGGAACCTGTCCAGCAAAACATTAGAGTTTCTAAGGACTTGAATGCATTCATAATGATTTCATGTGATTTTAAGACAAAAGGAAAAAAAAAAGCAAAAAACTGTCTTCAGGCAGCTTGGCTTACATACTTAGCAATGTGCAAAATAATTCATGCCCTCCAATACATGTGGAATAAGGAAAGTTGGTGTTCACATGAAGGCAGAAGATGCAATATCACTGGTAGGACTGAAATAGAGATCAGAATTTATAACTGGAAGAAACAGAGGAGCAAAAGGAAGAGACCACCCCTGAAGACCTGTTACAAGCATTACACAGTAGAAAGCAATTCCTAATTGTTTATTCTCCATATATATATTAAAAAAAAAAACTACAGACGTGAGGTTTTCCTGAGGCAGCAGGATCTGATTGTATACGTTAAAAGTACTGCTTCTCTTTTTTTCTCTTTTGTCCAAGTCTAACTCCCTTAGCCAATAAAATATAATACAAATCCAGTGTATATTACACTTTTAAGAGTTCATTTACTTTAGCGTTTAATCCTTGCTATGTAGTTAAACTGAGACTTGAAGCTTGAAAACAACGAGACCAAAATGTTTGAAAACCACACTTGATTTTTCTGTGGTGTGTGGTCTAAGACTCCAGAAGGAGGACACGCAGCCACAATATTCTAAACTCATCCAGTTCATTATTTTTGTTTACCGTCACGTACATACATTTTTAAAAGCAGGATAGCTGTTAAAATGTGAATAGTTGTTCTAGCTGATGATGGCATATAAAAGTTTTAAATGGCATTTTCTCTTGTGATTAAGCATAGACTTCTAACATTTGAAGCTCCAAAGTATGCAGGAGGGAAAAGTTGCAGTTCATATTAAAGCTCTTTAACTTGCGTTCTTCCCTGGGTTTGGTTGTTTTAAAAGTGTGTCATTTACTTACTGGGCTTTTTTCTGTCGGTGTCTAACAAACTGGACTAATACTTTTGAAATATTTCTATTTCCCCTCTTCTAAAGTGATTTGTAAAAATTTCACAAGGAGGAGAAGTATTAACAAATACCTATGTCAGAAAGACAGTGTCAAGCAAATGAAGCCTATAATCAAATTTCAACAAAAATTAATAAGCAAAGATTTATATGAAACTAATTGCATCTTTGCTTTTAATGACTGAGATAAGGATGGAGCTGAGTTTTATTGGATTTACCCAAACCTGGGTTTTCTTATAGTAAGAGCTATAAAAAATGTATTACCAATCAAAGCCACATCCACAACCATTTCCCCCCCCCCCCCCCAAAAAAAAGTTGTAGGGATATCTGAATTGATAGTTAATGCAGATATTTGTAGCTAACAAATACATTGCTAGTCATACTATTTTATTTTTTGTTCAGCTTGAACTATAAGGATATTGGTATTTCATTTTTCTGGGGGATGGTGTCCCACTTGATACTGCAGTGTCTGGTTTTGTGCACTGCAAATGATCCTTTGAATTTGAACTTGCAGTTCTAAACACTAATTGCAAATGTTTTCCTGATGTTTAGTGGTTTTTTGTTTGTTTGTTTTTTAGGCACATTGCATCTCAGCCTAAACTAAGTTTTCTGTTGAAAGCTGCTAGGTTGGGTGTGTTATGTTACTGTTAATGGCATGTCTGGTCTCTGTGGTCTTCAGGTATAATTAATTACCACAGCATTCATCTTTATTTTGTACCATACTCATTCAGGTGACATCCACTTGTGTTTATACTGTTGTTTATTTTCCCTCTACCCTCCAAACTAATCAGAGCTCTTAGCATAACGTGGCCTCCATTGCTTACAGATGGAGATTTTTTCCACATCATCTTTGTCAGGAGGTTTTACTTGGTATTTAGTCTTCCCTACTAGGGCTTTTTTTTTTCCATTTGTCCTAATTGTCTTGCATGCGCCAATATGGTTTTCTGCTTCTCTTTTCTGTTAGTTCTGTTACTTGCACACTGTTGGCAAATGTATATGGAACTAGTTATTTAACCTTTTTGCATAAATGGATGCTTGTGGGTATGGGGGGGTTGGTTTGGGTTTTTTTTTTTTTTGGTTTTTGGCTTTTTGTTTTTCCTTTGTGAGAAGCCATCATTCATAAAGCATTAACAATAACAATTTATGAGACAGAACTGAATTTTCTGGTTTTGGTGGTCCCTCTTTCAGTCTCTACGCAGGCAATCTCCACATACATTTACCTTTAAGACACTGAAAACTTCATTCTCACGCTGTTTGTAAAACATGGACACACTTTCTGTTCTCAGTCACGCACAGGGCTCTATTCTAAGACAGAACATGCCCACTGCTATTTCAGTCTTTCTTGACTGCCTGTTAAGGTGATGTATTGCATAGCCATGATTTTTTTCAAGGGTGCTGATTTGTTCAGATTTGACTGGAATGTCATGTTTAGTTGGCCAGCTGAATTGCTTTTAATTCGAATGGACCCTGAGTTTGTATTCTAGCTGTGAACAGGGTGTAGGCTTCTTCTGTCTAGGTCACGTTTTACTCAGCGTCTTTTGTGAGGATCATAGCCAATCTAAGGACCGTCGCTCTGCTTGTACTACCTTGATGAGGTAACATACCTCCTTTCAGCCCTGCTGCAGTGAGAAAAGGGGGTTGAAAACGTGGAAATAACTCCCAGAAGAGGAAGTAAGACATCACTGTTCAACTCTGGGAACCATGGAACTCTTTATTTGCAGTGTGCAAACCCTCCACCGGTGGCCTAATTTACTGCCAGACTCCCCAAGGGGATGGGGAGGGTATGGGGGGGTTGGTTTGGGCCATGCATCCAGAACACTGGTTTCTGCCATCTCAAAGACCTTCCCCACAGCAGTTTTCCATCTCAGAGGGGGATATATATTGTATTCATGTTGTGAGTTCAGAGCTGAGGCCTTAGGTAACCTTACCAGTCACTTTTCAAAAGCCTTTTGACCTTTAACTCTCTAGTTAAAGGACTCTGTCAGTGACCAGCAGCCCAGGCTAGTGCCAGAGAGATCACTTATAAAGAGCACCGGTTTCCACTGACCTTAAAGTACCTTCAGAGCATGGAGCCACCTCTCAGACACTCTTCTTCAGGCAAAAACCCTGTGGGTGCAGTCGTGCACCTCAGACAAGCTCTTCTGTTGTTGCTTCACTCTTGCCTTTCTTGCACTGTGTAAGGGTAGATACCTCTCAATGACTGATCTTCCTAGCCAATAACCGAAGGCTTTTGGATTCTGGATAGCTCAGTCACTTCTTATGCTTATGCAATCCTTTCAACCTGCCCTTCTTGGGAGATCTTTCTTGCAAGAGTTTGCTAGGACTGTTGGCATGCACGTTTCCCTTAAACTGAGAAATTAACTTCCCCCTACTTAAGGGGAACTGCCCTTTACTTCATGCTTCTGGGGCTTAGGATGTCTTTCACGTTTTCAGCATGAAGGAGGCCATAACAAGAGCCTTCAGGTTGTCAACAAAGTTGTGTCAGGACCTGACATTGAAAAGAATGGCCAGGAAAGGTGGAGAATGAACACAATTCACTACAGCTACTGCACAGGTAAAAAGTCTTCTGCCTTGACTGACGGTGTAAATAGATGTGTAGTCTACACATCTCAAAGAGTTCAACTTACAGGCAAGTGATACTTCTTTTTCAGATTGGTTGTTTTACATTTATATGTATTTACTTATCTGTCTGGATAGTAGATCTTTTACAAGGTCATCTTTAAGTCCCAATTCTGCATACTTTCTCATTTTAAATGTCTGTGTCTGTAACGTGCATAACCGTTTACTCTTGCCAGAAACGCAGTTTGTTTGCTGCTTTAACCTACGTGCCTTTCTTTCATTTTGTTGGTGAATGATCATTCAGCTGCAAAAAGTTCAATGCATGCTTGAACAAGTACAGGCTGCAGAAGCCCAAAGAGTGAGACTTCTGTGCAAAAGGAACGTGTAGAGTGACCACTGGATGTCACTGTTCTGTAGGAGTCCTCCTCCTGGGGCTATGGGGAAAGAGCTGCAAGCGACAGGGAAGATAAAGAAAACACTGTGCTCTTTTTAAGAGCAAGTTGTAAATTAATCTGTATAACAAATGTATGCCATCACCAAACCAATTGGTTGTATTGCTCCCACAAGATTCCTTCTGAGAAGATGGAGTTTGCTCTCTTATAAATTACATTTTACAATTGGCTAAGGAAAGCAAGTCTAACATGATATTTTTTTTTCTGCTGGGAAATGTAAAGTTTGTTTAGTGTAGATCAACCTGAAATGCCACATCCAGCCCTGAACTTTCCAAGAATGTCATAGGCACCATTTCTGCCGGAAAAACTCTTTGAAGAGGGAAGAGGAAGGATCTGGAAGGCGCTTGGACCGTCGAATTAGTACGCGCTCCAGCTTCAGCCAACTCTCGATTGCCTAGCAGGAACTCCCAAGTTGTGATACACGTACCACTCGTGGTACACAAAGCATTTCAACATCCACGCATTGCTGCTGCTGCTGCCAGCAGTGGTAGCACCTATTGTGGGTGGGAGCTGGCAAAACAGAAGAGAAAAATGTTTGCACCTGTAAGGCAAAAAAGCAACTGCAGATGTGTCCCTATAAGAATATCGGCTCATCTGTCCTAACCCTGTTTCAAAGGCTGCTCTGCAATGTTATTTATCTTCCAGCCAATGAAAAGAAAATGAGGAAGATAAGGGTCAAACAAAGCTGCTGGTGCCTAGGAGAGAGTGGCCATGGAGGGTGGCAGGTGCAAGGGCAGGATCCAAGGAATCCTCATGCAAGAAATGCGTTCTGTCTGCAAGAGCAAGACAATGTACCGCTCCCTAGTTAAGTGCTATTTTTTATTTCTGCCCGCAAACGTACTTTTTGCTAGTTCCACTGTATATCAACATCATGTCAGGCTTCAATGAAATATTTTTGTTGTTGTTGAGCTATTGTTAGCTAAAATCATAAGAAGCCCTTGCTCCTAAACAGAAATGTATGCAGATGTATCAAGTTAAAAACCCAAATAGCTCTGTGAGCCACTGAACTAATGAAGCCTTGTTTCATGCAGGTCATATGGCTAATTGCACTAGTATTTTCTAATAGATTTTGCAACTTTTTAGATATAAGGGAGAGCATTCACAGTGCTCTTGTTCCCGAAAAGACTTTCTGCTGTGTAATAATGGTCAATTCTTAGACAGCTACACATCATGCTGCTGTTGATAGTATTTTTTCCCTCTGTCCAGCTGCCTACATTAACAAATCTTGTAGTTAACTCAACCACTGCCTTTTTGTCAAAATGTGGTTGATATTTGCCTATGGCTTCCAAAGGGAATCTATGTTGTGTACACACATGCTATATGCTTACATTAACTTCGATTCTTCTGAAGAAAAACAGGCTTAACATGGTAACTACTGTATTTGTGTTTCTCTGCTGTAGGAACTGATGATAAATGGCGAATGAGGAAGAAGAGACAGGCTAGAGTTACATGTTAATACACTAAACAAAAGTTGCTATATTAGACCTTTCTACTTTTCACACCACTCATTT